GGGGGGGGTTAAAATAAGTACGTTTCTACTCCTTTGTCACTATGTCCTGTGTACAGGGAGAGGCGAATGTGGGTATACTATATGCTAGTTCTCCTTAAAACGTTGTCTTAGAAGTATGTTTTGTGACAGTGCACATGTTGAGGTGCTTAGTAGCCTAACGAGCTATTGATATGACTCATCCTGACGCTACAAGAAAACCTCTTCTGGTGGCAGCTCCCAGGGCCACCTCCTAACCTGCCTTCCCAGGCTTTTAGCTGGTTCATGATCGCCTAATCCTCACCAAGTTTCCGCAAAAGTTTGCTTTCTGTATGATAGGTTTTTTAAATAGTGTATGAATCCTGATATTACTAGCAGGCCATATTCAGTATTACACCTTTACATTTCATAAGCACGCTTTTCAAGTTTTTTTATTAAAATCTTTTATACTTTCGGAATATATATGGTAAAATATATATGTATCTGCCAAACATTCTTCACATATGTTTTTTAAGGCAGGAAAGTTACTGAATCATCTAAAGTATGTGAAGAGAACATTATTACCCTGGAAGTAAGAACAATGTAACCTGAAAATTGTACTCTCATATTAATTTGAAAAATTAAAAAACTCAAAAAAAGCATGTGAAGAGAGCACAACTGTGTCCTCCTCTCCCTCCTCCACCAGCAACCTAATTTAGCACCCTACTTTCTCACCATACATTTTAGACGAGAAACTCTTAAGAGTAGCAAATCTTTTGAGAAGTGAGCTCATAGCTGAGTTTTTTAAGGACTATGGGACATACTTAACCAACTACTGTCTGATATAATATACTGCCTCCCCCAAGACATGAGTTTTAGAAATATGCTTTGGATAGATTCATATTCAGTTTTCTAAATCCAAATTATGTGGTTTTTATTTTAATTATGACATAATTTTAAGTTAGCAATTGTATAGTAACTAATCCTACAAAGAAGAGAATTTTTATCACTGATGTGACTTTTAAGTTTTCCATCCATAGTCACTGGAAGGAGCACCTTTCTCAAGACTTCTGAATTGAAATTAAATATTCTGTGATTTACTGGGAGGTCACATTTGTTATACTTGCAACAAGGAAGAGGAAGGAGTTAACCTTTGTTTCCAAAAAGCAGAACAGAACTTTGTGACAGCTGCTTTGTTTCTCGATAATGCTGGCTGGGTGTCTCACTCTGTGAGGTAATCCTATCTCAGTCCGACAGGAGACTCTTTGTGCTGCCTTTACTAACTGGAAAGGAATCCTGCGCTGGCCCTGCACACGCCCGTGTCACTCAGGCTGCGCACATGTGCACGGTGGCCTTTCACGGCTGCAGCTCACAGCGTGTGCCGTGTTACTGCAGGGCTCAGGGGCTGCTTTCTCTGTTCGTCTGACGTTGGCACTTTTGTGGCTTTCTATTCAAAATGCTACTTTGGAGGTGATTGTTCGGGGGGTGAGGCTGGTCTAGAGCTCCACCTGGTAAAGCCTTCTGAGTTCTGAACTCTTTCTGGTTATCTGCAGAGTCTCTGTAGCTGTTCACAGTCCTCCCTGAGGTCTGCGTGTGTGTTCAGGAGTTTCAGTAAATTTAACTGCTTCTCTGGAACTCCAGATCATGTTTCTTTCCAAGTACTTTTAACTTTTTCTGCCAGTCCATTCTGATATTGTTTGAAGGGATTATTTTTACTCTGTTTGCTCACCCCTTCCTTCATATGTGACTTAGTCAAGTCAAAGAATTTTTAGAAAAAAGTTAATTTTGTTATTTGTAAATGATTATTTGTAAGCGATAATATAATTTTAAACTATATGTCCTTCTGAATTCTTAACAAATTGCCTTTGTTGAGTATGTTATCAGAGCACCAAATGCAAACAAATAATCATGCTTCATAGATGTTACCAATCTAAAGAGCTACCTGCTTTATGACTGGAGTTCTTTTCAATAACTGCACCTAATGGTGTGCCTCCATTTTCCTAGAAAAATATTAGAGTAATTCAGTTTTTATAAAGTTTTAGGATTCTTGAATGATATGTGATGTATTTATAATATTGTTTTAAATGCAATACATGTAGAATAATAACTATTTCTTCTGAATTAGTGTATCTTTTTCCTTTAAGTTAATTATTTTATGAAAGAGTATCTAGTTATTAGTACTAAGTGGATTGCTAAGAAAATGCTCGCAACAGGTGCCAGGCACTGTGTGGGCTGTGTGTACTCATTTAATCTTGATAAGTTTGTAAGTGCTGTTACTAAACCCATTTTACAGATGAGGACACAGAGCCCAGGGAGGTGGTGCCCTAGCAAGTGCTAGACTGGGAGCTCTTTTAACCCCTCCCCTGCCTTGGCTTCACTACTTTCTGACCCAGTTCATTGTCAGACATGTTTATTTAAAGGTTATTCTCTCACTGAAGTAGTTAAGAATGAAATGATATAATGCCTGAGATTTGCTTTAAAATATTTAAGTAGGGGCAGAAAGGAAACATTGTCATAGTAGAAGCCATTCTACTGGGATCTACTCTGGGATCTACTCTGGGATCTACTGGGATCTACCTGGGATCTACTCTGCTATTCTCTGCATTCATGTTTAAAATTTTCCATGGTTATCAGGCTCTTTTTTAAGTTGTTTACCATATTAAACTATAAAAAGTTCTAAAGTGATATTCAAATACTTGGCCTTTCTTACATCATTTATTTATTTACTGCTACTTGTAGTGTTCTTACTATTGTAACAATGAACAGTAACATTCATTTTGACAGTTCTGTTTCTGTATTTTATAACGTACAAAAGTTGTTTCGTGAGAGAGCTTAACTTTGTCCAAGCCTGCATGAAATTATACCTAGACACATTAGTGCAATCTGTTTTTGTTTTTATAGGAGCCAAGCAATAAAAGAGTCCGACCTCTCGCTCGGGTCACATCCTTGGCAAACTTAATCTCTCCTGTAAGAAATGGAGCAGTCAGACGTTTTGGGCAAACAATACAGGTAAAAAAAGGGGGGGAGAGTAATGTAGTCAGGGACTTTTTATAGAAACCTGAAATTTGTGTTTTCCTCTGAGCTGTACAGACAAGTTTACACCATTATACTTAAGTACACGTTTTCTTTTTAGAATATGCTAGAAAGAAATATTGTTACAAAAACTATATTTGTATAACTTCATTCTGTTAACTTGCTTCTTGTATCAATTGATAGTCTTGCCTAGTTTTTATTCCCAAAAATGTAGTTTTGGTTGATAAGTATTTTAAAATGACAGGTTAAAAGTTAGATAAATGATTTTTTGTACTGAAAAATTCTGAGAACTTTGTCCTTCTCTGCTGTTAAAAAAAAAAAAAACCCTAAGGAGAAAGGGAATAATTAACTGTTTTCTCCAAATCTCATTTTCTCTTCTGTTCACCTTTTTTTAAGTCATTTACCCTTCGTGGTGACCACAGATCCCCGGCCTCTGCCCAGAAGTCGTTCAGTAGGTCTACAGTCCCAACACCTGCCAAGAGAAGAAGCAGCGTGCTGTGGTCGGAGATGCTGGACGTCAACACCAAGGAGTCTCTGACCACCAGAGAGATCAGGCGGCAGGAGGTGCGTTGGCACTTCCCACCCCACCATAGTCATTGGCCTATACTGAAAAACGACCTGTTTTTTGTTTTTTGTTTTTTTTTTTTGAGACAGAGCCTCAAGCTGTCCCCCTAGGCAGAGTGCCGTGGCATTACAGCTCACGGCAACCTCCAACTCCTGGGCTCAAGCGAGTCTCCTGCCTCCGCCTCCCAAGTAGCTGG